GTTTAAGATACTAAATAAGATCAGATTACAGTGAATTTGAATCATAATCTATTTAACCATTTTTCAAGTTAAGTTTTTACACACATAGCTGTTGTACCAGTTGAGCTGTGTCTATTTTTTTCAAGAAATAAAAATTACCTGACCTCAAGTGGTATTAAATACTTAATTACACCCACAGTCAAAGTGAGCTGGCTCTACAATTTTAAGCTTTGAGAAAGATTTAGCCAGCGTAAGACACAAAAAAAAAACCCCAAACCCACAACAACAAAAAACAAAATACAACAACAGAAAAAGGATTCATTTCAAGGGAAAACTGCACTTTTGGATTGAAGTTGAAAATATTCAAATCTCTCACATTTTGTACCTACAAAGACATGGTGCGCTGAAGACATTTCTAAACACCCAATAGAGATACGTATAAAATGCTAAAGGTTAGAACCCTTAACACTGATAGAGACACATATGGAATGCATCAAGGAATATGAATAAATAGCTGGTGTATACTTAGGAGCGACAACAGCAGCAAGTCCCACAGAAACCTGTGCAAATTCCTCTCCTATTCCATACATGCATAAATTGTGTGGAAATTGAGACAAAAATTTAGGTCATTAAGTCTGTTGGTACTACATTAGTAAAGATGACAGCCAATTGCAAAAACATGGAGGCAATTAAGTGAGTGAGCCATAAAACAGTAGATGTACAGTTATGAGAAAGGCAAACAAAATCCCAGGGGCTCCAAAAAAGCTTCCACTGAGGAATGAGATCTTAGCCCTACAGCAAGGTAGATCCAAGAAGAAATTGGTCCATTGTACAACAGCAGCTAGGAAAATAGGGTATCAAGGCAGACAGAACGAAAACCAGAGATCATGATGTCACTTCATGAAACCCATGAGGTACCCACAGCTGAAGCAGTACATACAGTTCCCAACCCACCTTCCCTGGCGTAAAAATATGGGGAGGGCGGGTGGTGGAACAGAGGGAAAAAAATAAGTGTTTAGAATAGCTTCTGCATGCGAAGAAGTTGCATGATACAATCTTCAGTGAGGGAAAGATACAACTGGGGGGTGATTATGACAAAATTTTTAAAGCACAAAAAACCCACCCCACCAGTGTTGGGGAAGACAAGTAAGGAACAACCACACACTGCCTCTTCCAGTATAAGAACAACAGGGCATTAGGGGAAACCTAATGCCAAAATCAAGTCAAGGACTAGAAGCAGATAATATTCATGCGATAAACAGCTGAATTACACAGCTCTTTGCTACATATAGCTGTGGATGCTAAAAGTTCAGAATGTTCAAAAGGGACTAGACAAATTAATGGGAAAAAATCAACATCAAAAATATTAAAGCCTATTAAGTTACGCCACGCACATATATGCTCCAGCAAAATAAAAGGGGGATGGGCAATCCAAATACACATTCACATCCCCCCATACCACCACCTCTGGTTCAAAGTCTATAGGCTACAGATAACGTATCATAAACATGGGGCCTAATAATTCAGTTGGCTACTGCTATTTATGCTGTTGCTGTCAGGACATTGGACTAGACTGTCCTTTGGCTTGACTCAATATAGCCAGCCTTAAGTGTATCATGACTAAGAAAAAGAAGCCCAAGAAAATGAAATACTGCTCTATTTTCTGTAGGTTTTGAACAACCACTTCAAAGGGTTTCCTCTTTTTCTCCCCATATCCAGGGCTGAACACCTAGACTTCTCTCCAGATCACGTTAAGACACTAAAAAACAGTATTTTCAGAAAAGAAAACTGATTAAAGTAGTAAACCAAGATTTTTAGGAAGAATCAGAAGAACTGGCTAATGAACACACAACCTGGTAGGAACAGGATAGGGGGAAGATGCTTTAAAGAAGCACTCACGTCAAAAATGAGGCCTGAATATTTCAACACTGACATCAGTTAAGAACTGAATATGAAATGGATGAACACTAAGATGCAAGAGAGAAGGAAAACCACCTTAAACTCAAATAATGACTTACCCATGTATTTATTACTATCTTACGCATTTTTACAGTATTTGACATAATAAGACCATTCCAAAAAAAAGCTATGACCTCTTTGCCCTGTTCTGGTAGAGTAGTAGTCTCTGCAGAAATCAGAACTAGGGAAAGCATTTTGCCTCTCTGAACATGTGCCAGAATGACAAAACAAGCACGGGGCTGGGGGGGACGACAAAAAGTACTGCTTCTCAACACATTTTATGAACAGGTTTTTTTGTGTGTTCTCAAAATCTCTCAGACCTCATGGGGGAAGGATGTCACAAGACCCACCGACCTGGATTAGCCTGTTGAAGTTCAACAGCATGATCCTCCACATTTCTTGGCAAAATAAGATTGTACTACAGCACTTCTAAAACACAGACATACACTGTCTAATGTCCAGGTACTATTTTCATAATGTAAGACTGCAAATCATTAAACTCAGTAGAAATAATTCAGGGTATTGACCTGAAACACAGACTTTAAATGCCTCTTCAGTTCTTTTTCTAAAATAACTCCAAGCTCACATCTCCAAATTATACCTTAGTTGTAAAGGAATATAAAACATAAATGAAAACCTAGTAAGTCTTAAATATATTGTTGTTGATCAAGTAAGAATTAAAGAAACAATTATTTTTCAAAAGTTCCTTCATGCTTTTGACAGGCAAATGTTCAACGGTTCATTTATTTTTATGAAGGATGACAGAAGAAAAGCTTCAAACAGTTTTCCTTATTTTAGGAGACACTTATACAAAGTGTCAAAATTGAAGTGATTCTCTGTATTTTTTTTTTCAAAATTAATTACCAAGCCACAAAAACTAGGATGGCTCAAAACACAGCTGTTAGCTACATTTCTGACAAATACAACAAAAAGTTACCTACAATCATGAACAAAAGCCACCCATAACACTTCTATAAATAAACTGCAAGCATGTTTGTAGTATTGCTTAAGGACTTGTATGTCACAGCTAGGTGATGCAAACTTCAAGCACAAATAGTAACAGAGACCAAGGAACACAAATTTATTAGATAAAGTCTTCATAAGTTATTTCTAGAATAAGTATCTATATGTGCACCAATAAACCATACTATATATAAGCACTAAAAGTAAATACAAGAGAGTAAGTTATTTCTTTCTGAAAACTCCAAACACACATACATCCTTTTTTTTCTAAACAACTTTTTTTTTCAACTTTTAAGAAACAATTGAAGGGTGAGCTTAAAGCCCATGTCTTGTCCCAAACACCTTGGTCAACTGGGAGAAATTTACAGAATCACAGAATCACAGAATTGTTTAGGTTGGAAAAGACCTTTAAGATCATCAAGTCCAACCATTAACCTAGCACCACTGCCAAGTCCACCACTAAACCATGGCCCTAAGCACCATGCCAACACATCTTTCAAAAACCTACAGGGATGGTGACTCAAACACTTCCCTGGGCAATGTTTCCAATGCTTGACAACTCTTTCAGTGAAGAAAGTTTTCCTAATATCCAATCTAAACCTCCCCTGGTGCAACTTGAGGCCAATTCCTATTGTTCTATCGCTTGTTACTTGGGAAAAGAGACTGACACCCACCACACTGCAACCTCCTTTCAGGTAGCTATAGAGAGCAGTAAGGTCTCCCCCGAGCCTCCTTTTCTGCAGGCTAAACAATCCAAGTTCCCTCAGCCTCTCCTCATAAGGCCTGTGCTCTAGATCCTTCACCAGCTTCGTTGCCCTTCTTTGGATATGTTCCAGCACCTCAATGACTTTATTGTAGTGAGGGATCCAACACTGAACACAGTATTCGAGGTGCGGCCTCCAATTACCACGTATTGGTAAGATACTTGGCATTTAGATTACCATTTTGTAAAACAGTGTTATTTTATTGTTCAGCAACAAACACTAAATGAAAATACAAAACAAAAATAATGCGTCCTTCAGCTTACATCTCTTCAACACATTCAATTCTCACTCCCCCTTCCACTGTAGTGGCAATTCTTTTCATTCCTCCTACACTGCAAAATTCTGTCACGCTACTAGAGTGACAGCAAGTCCATCTGTCCTCCCGTCCTTAAGAAAAGGGAGCAAGCTGGCTGGCACAGAGCAGAGGACAGCAGACTGGCAGCTGACCTGCGGCTCAGCAGAGACAAATAGCTTCCCCAGCAAGCAAGGCTACACAGATGCAGATTCTGGTGCTGAAGAGACAATGCTTTTCCCAGGGATCTTCAAGTGCTTCTGGGTGAGGGGAAAGGAAAAGGGGCACAACAGATGCCTCCAAAGTTCATACATGCCAACATCTGAATCAGGCAATATCATGCACCAGAACTGTAAAACAAACCACTGAAGTGAAGCTTCTTCTGATCTGCTATTTTTAAACATGGACAATTTTAGACAATGAATTGCTGCTCTGCAGTAATAAACAGCCATGAACTTCAACTGGCTTCAGTAACAAAATCAGTGTTTTACAGAGCCATACATGAAGATGTGAACACACAAACCATTTTTCCACTGCTATCATAGGTGATATTACTGTCAGCAAAGGTCAGGACAGACAGTTAATTGAACTAACCATTTCAACCTTCCTCCCATGATTCACTCAAACTTATCTACCAGACCATGAAATCAAAAAGAAAAATCACCTATTAAACCTTTATTGCCTGCAGAAAATTCAGTCTTCAGAAACTAAGCAATTTCTTTTTAGTGTCTGCAACTGAAAAGAAATATTCTGAAGACATCGTAACATTTCACTGTATACCTGCATTTGTTCCATGTCAGTTTATCATTCCTTCAAGCAGCATGAAAGGTGAAAATTGACTCTTCAAGTCATGAGTCTAATTAAATCTGAAGGTAATTATAGTAAATGTTTAACTTAATCACAGTTAACCACTTATCCAACTTATTCCACTAACCTAACAGATGCATGTGTCAGCAAGTACATTACTTCCTGATGCTACAAAAGTAGTGATCAATATAGAATACGTAATGCTTCAGTGAGAATGACCAAAACAGCTGTAATACCTGGTTGTTTGCCCCACACCCAACTCTCAACAATTGATTTGGCCCTGTAAGTGGGCGGCGGAGTCTCTTCTTCATCTTTCTTTTCTTTGTCATTTTGCTCTTCTTTCTTTGATGCAGTTTGGCATTCAGTGCTATCATCTAAAGAAAAAAAG